CGATTCTGCCAGCTCCAGTCCAAGGCCTATTGACTGACGTCCAAGTGACCCAGATCTGCGCGCTTCCTTCCTTCCTTCCTTTTATTTTATTACAGCCCCATACTGAACAGTTTTTTGCTGATGTTTTCCCATAATGGCAATGATATTTCTCCATTATGAGCTCTTTTACAGCAGTGTCTTCCAACCAGAGGGTCGTGATCCCCTCCAAGAAGGTCACCAAATGTTTTCTGGGGGAGGTCATGGGTTGCCTTATATGGGTTTGCAGCGCTTGTTAAATAATTTCTTCCGTGATCTTTCAGGGCAGAATATTAAAGTTAGTGTGTATCAGAAACAGGCCCTTTGGGGGAGAAAGAAGCCTCTACTTTCTGAGAAAGGGATGACGTTACCTCATTAAAATTGCCTTTTTTCCTGCAAATGTGGCATGTGTGTATGTTGCAGGTGACTTGGCTATTATAAAAAGGGGGTTGCAGCTCAAAAAAGCTTGGGAACCACTGCTCTATAGCGTCCTTCCTGACACTGTACAATGAGGTGGCTCCTGATTTGAGATGGGCATGAACAGCCGTTCGTGTTGGTTTGGCAGATAGTGGAACCGTTGTTCAATGGTTTGTCCTGCCCGTTCTGGTGGGCGCTCACTCAGAGGCTGTTCGGCTGTTGGTCAAACTGGCATGAGCTGCTTAACTTCTTTACTCCTGATGGAAGAAGCAAGGGTTCAGCCTTGGTGAACAAACTCCAGAGATTCACGGGAAAATATTCAGTGCCTGAGAGCAAAAGTGGGTTTCCACCCCCTGCCCAGCATAGAAATAGAAGTAGCTGAGTATCCACTGTTAGTTTCATAGCTACCATTTTGTTTTAAGGACAAAACAAAAAGCGCAGAGAATTGCATCTTGTTGGAAAGGAGGATTCTCCTTTTACTGGGCCGTTGGTGGGTCTGGGATGGGGCAGGGGACGAGAATAGGGCCCTGGCTTACTATATCATGGGTTTAAGAAGTCTAAAACCATTTCAATTTCAATTTTATCTATTTGTTCATATGCTCAATTTGGGCTTTTCTTCTCAAAGGGTTTTCTTCTACTACCTTGTTCTGTTTTGGATGTACTTTTCTGTCTGAAAAATTTAATAACCTGATTAATCTTTTAAAGCTTAAAACCCATCCCTGATTTTTTTAAAAAAAGAAGACTCTCATAGTGCAACTGTGTCTGATCGCTAAGAACAACCTATGCCATCTTCCCACGCTTGGGGGAAGAATAAAAAAGTCTCTCAAATATGAAATAAAATTTAAATTCTCAACTGCAGAAAAGGGAAACTCCTACATATACTCACAGTGCCTCCATCTTTCCTCTTTTCTCCCCCACCCCTTCATCTCCCCTCTGTGCCTCCTGCAAATATTTAGCACAGAACTATAGGTAAAAGGTAAAGGTCCCCCTTGACAATTTGTCCAGTCACGTCTGACTCTAGGGGGCGATGCTCATCTCTGTTTCCAACCCATAGAGCTAGCATTTGTTCAGACAATCTTCCATGGTCACGTGGCCAGCGCAACTAGACACAGAACGCCGTTACCTTCCCACCAATGTGGTCCCTATTTATCTACTTGCATTTTGCATGCTTTCGAACCGCTAGGTTGGCAGGAGCTGGGACAAGCGACGGGGGCTCACCCCGTTGCGTGGATTCGATCCTATGATTGCAGGTCTTCTGACCCTGCAAGCATAGAGGCATCTGCGGTTTAATCCGCAGAACACACCTAACTCCACCACACTCTGCCTTGGGCCCCATGTGGACCAGAAGACACATCTGCTGTTCTGGTGACCTGTCATGTTTTTGTGACAATGTTTGGATCCAGCCAGCAGATTGCTACATCTTAAGAACAGCCTACATTCTAAACAGCTGCCTTGTTGGGTATATAACAACTGTGTTATTCCGATTTGATATGTTTGGGTTGTCACATATTTTACAAGGCCATGGTTCCCGAGAAGCCAATCTGCTGGGCGATTAGGGTGGGGTGGGGATGGGAATTGGATTTCTGGATGAGAGTTGCTGGAAATGGATGAGGGACTCTTATGGATACTTTCTTCTTTGCCTTTAGGCTTATGCCCTGACTGAGTTGTCCGTCTTTGATGTGCTACCAAACGAGCGTCTGAATTTTTGCTTGGATGTAAAGCAGAAGGTGTAATATCACAATGAGAAACCAACACAGAGCAGAGAAAGCCACTGACAAAGCTTGCTTTCAAAAGGTGCAAAGCCTTCTGAAAGTGGCTCGGATTCTTTTCTATCATTTCCCACAATGCTGCGGGGTCTTCAGAGGATCTCATCAGGCACCCTGATGGGGTGTGTTGTTGGACCCCAAATGTGTGAACATTCTCCTTTCTAGGCTCCTCACAAGTCGCTGAACATTTCAGAGCCGTCCTAGGGACTATTCCACGAAATATAGATCGTTGCCACCCATAAATACATTGAGGGCTCATTCATAACAAACTGTGTGGCTTAGATTGATGCAGGTTGGGACTGTGGTCCCTTTCCCCAATCAGTGGCCCTCTAGAGGTTGATGCTCTCCAAGTCCTACCAGCATCAGACAGCATGGAATTTTTAATACAGCTCTACATGGAGGGATCCATACATCCAGCATCCAGTCATGGTATAAAGCCAAGCGAAACACAGCACAGCAAAGCAAAAGCAAAGCAAAGTGTGCTGCTTATATACTGCCCTATAGATTTTGAAGCACACTCTGGACAGTTTACAATTAAATTTTGCAGGCTACACATTGCAGCCCCATCCCAGCAAGCTGAGTACTCAATCTCAAAGTCTGAGTCAACCTTGAGCGGGCCACCCCAGCCAGTTTGACTACAGTACCACAGTTTAACCACTGTGCCACGTCTCAAAGTCTGAGTCAACCTTGAGCTGGCCACCCCAGCTAGTTCGTCTACAGTACCACAGTTTAACCACTATGCCGCGTGGCTCCTGCTACTAGGTAAGCAACGTCAACATGTCTGGGGTCCAATTTTACCCCACTGAAACATGTCACAGGCCAGACTGTCCAGTGCTCTGTCCGTGCCACTCTGTGAAGCCAAATTTCAAGGACAGCTGAGGGGGGAAACTGTTAGAATAGGCAGGAGACACTCGTTTTAATTAGATTTTTCCAGCAGCAAATTAGGAAAAAAAAACTTTGAAGCAAACATTGTCTCCTTTCTTTAATGGCTTTGAAGAGTCCATTGTTTACCATTCAATTTCAGCTCTATGATTTTTCCGAGACCTCAGATGAGGCACAAAAAAGGAATTTGGAAATCCAGGCCACACAGTGTCCATCTGTATGGACCAATGGTCGGATTCAGTGTCAGATATCTTTAAATGTGTGTAACAGATTGATGGTGGCATGATCTTTCATGCACATGCAACCTGATTCTTTAGAACCTACCCTCGGAAATTATAGAGAGAGCTTGTTTCCCCCTATTCATGTGCATCACTTCCTCTGATCCAGTGTTCCCTGCCTTGTAGAGTAGTTACACTGTGTTCAGTAGAACTTACACATCTTCCTCCCATGTGCTGTCAAATCAGTTCTGAGTTATGGCGACCTTTTTCAGGGTTTTCTGCATAGAGAATAATCAGAAATGCTTTACCCTTCTCTTCCTCTAGGGGCAACCTTGGGACTGTGCAGCTGGCCCAAGACTACCCAGGCTGGCTCTTCTCCCAGGAAGCACTAGTGGGGAATCGAGCTCCCAACCTCTGGCTCTGAAGCCAGATATCTAAACCAATGAACTATTAGTGTTAGATAGCTCATAACATTTCTCACTTGGGAAGCGGCTGATTTTTCCCATCCACCCCACCCCCCATTCTACTTAAAATGTCTGCCAAAGGCAGAGAAAAGATCCACATCTAAAAAATTCTTGATTGACGGCCAGCTAAAAAAAATCTCCCATGAAAAAGAGTCCCACTGTCATCCAGTTAGTCTGTTCCACTGTTGAACAGTTCCTACTGTCAAGGAAATTCTCCAAATGCTTAGCTGAACCCTCTTTTCACATCATTTGAATGAATTAGTTTGGGTTGTGCCTTTCAAATATTTAAAAATGGTTATCGTATCACTCCTCGACCTTCTTGGTTACCAACTCGGTTATCTCTCCGGATATTTCCCACCCAGCTTAACTTTCTTAAACGATGGTGCTCAGAAGTGGACATAAGATTCCAGATGAAGCCTGACTGAAGCAAAATGCAGCGGTACTAATATTTTCCTTGCTATACTTTTGTTGATGTAGCTCAGTTTTGCATTTGTGCGTTCTTTGTACATGATACTGTTGTCTCGGGTTCACCAAGCAATCAACAAGACACCAAGATCCTTTTTTCATACATTCTACCCAGTGCTCCAACACTGGAGATCTTCGAGAGACAATTGGACCACCCCCTGTCAGATCTGCATTGATTTGGAATCCAGCCTTGAGTAGGAGGTTGGACTCGATGGGCTTATAGCTCAATTATTCTACGATTCTGTGATTCTCTTGAGAAAGAGGGAGGGTCGTAAAGTAGAAACAGTGATGAAGTGGATGTAACGAGCCTTCTCAAAACTCATACTGGCTTACATAAGCCCTTTGAATTGGCATCCATATGTTCAGTACTGCCTCTGCGTTACTAAACTGGAGGAGTGATGGAGGAAAAATCACACACACCAGGAAACAACTTAAGAGAAAAGAAGGAAGGAAGTCTATAAATCTAAATCTAATTGTAGATCTAGAAAAGAAAATCAGAGGTGGGAAACTCTACCTGTTGTCCCTCCCCACTGGTGCAGATCCTTTGGTACATCACCCGTTCATGGACAAACTGAGAGGGCACAATATTGCAGTTTGTGTGGAAGACTCACCTGTATGCTACTTTTGCTGGTGACCTATCTTGACAATATTGGTCAATATTCAAATTTGGGTCAGAACTGAATTAGAATTTTCAAAGATCTTCCCTGCCCACAAGAACTGCCCCTCCCCCCGTCCCATGCACACCATTTCAGTCCATTTCAGCTCATACTTACTGTTTTCTTCTGCACTCAATAGCTCTGTCTATCCGAAATTCTGGTAAACTGATGAATCCTTCAGCTTTTTCATCCTATCAAGAGACAAAGAGGAAATAGCAGTGACAAAGAGCCAAAGGCGGAGGTCGTACTCTGTGTTTTCATTAGAGATGCTGAATGACCAGATATCTGAGCAAACTACAGATTTTATCCCATTTCAGTCTGTCGACGGCCTTTGAAAAAGGAGCCCTCCCAGTAAAAAAGAAGAGGCATGTTCAGATCCTTTAATAATTGAAAGCGGCTCAGAAATCTGCATTGTGTGCTCTTTTCACTTTTGTGCAAAGAATTGTCCTTTTGAATTTGATTTTACGCGAGCATTTTTTAAAATGCACCAAAGTCACAGCTTAGGATATAATCAAAGCCAGAGTAAATAGTGCTTAAGCTCATTGATTTGTACAGCGGTTCTAACGTGATACTGGCTTTCTAAAGTTTTTTTTTGAGTTTCCATTTTTCTCCTTGTGGGAAAATGCAAATTACAGAGAAAACACCAGTATGGAGAGAAGGTCGGTCGGTCGGTCGGTCGGTCGGTCGGTCTGATCTGTCTGATCTGTCTGATCTATCTATCTATCTGCCTATCTGCCTATCTGCCTATCTATCTATCTATCTATCTATCTATCTATCTATCTATCTATCTATCTATCTATCTATCTATCTATCTATCTATCTATCTATCTATCTATCTATCTATCATCTATCTATCTATCTATCTATCTATCTGTCTGTCTGTCTGTCTGTCTATCTGTCTGTCTGTCTATCTATCTATCTAAATTGGGTTCTTTTTAATAATTTATTATTATTCAAAAATACTAGGCGCAGTCAGTCGAAGGTATAAAAGCATTGACTGATGTTATACAACACATCCTAGTTTATTATCACTATCGGTTCTTGTTAAGGCTTTGTCCTCCCCGTGGTGGTTGACACTCACATTCTGGTTGGTGTACCAATAGAGAGAAGAATCCTTCAGGACGAACCAGTATTTTTTCCACTTCTGGGTGAAGTACCCTTTGGCGTCCTTTTTCTTCCACAGCCAGCCCTCGCAGTCTCCGTGGCCCAAGTCCTTGCAGGAGATCCGACGCCGGCTGCTGTTGTTGAGCGAGCCCCCTTGAAAGGGAACGACAGCACAAGCCGCTCAGAAAACCGTAAAGACAGGATGGGGACCACACTCGCAGTTCTGAGCTCAAACACGTTGACTATGGAAACAGGGGACTTGGGTGCAGTTAGCGCAGTGGTCCCCAACCTTGGGCCTCCAGATGTTCTTGGACTACAACTCCCAGAAGCCTTCACCACCACCTCTGCTGGCCAGGATTTCTGGGAGTTGAAGTCCAAAAACATCTGGAGGCCCAAGGTTGGGGATCACTGAGTTAGCGGACACTTTTGGTTCGTTTTAGTCACTTAGTCCAAGGATGGGCAACCTGCTTTGGGGCCATGTTGGCCTTTATCCTGATCTCATATGACCCTGAAGTAAATGTCAAAAGGCCCCTGTCAGTTGCTGGAATGCTCAGTGGTTTAGGTCTCTGGCTGTGGAGCCAGAGGTTGGGAGTTCGATTCCCCCACTGGGCCTCCTTGACAGGGGCTGGACTGGATGATCCAGAGGGACCCTTCCAGCTTTGCAAGTCTAAGATTATTATTATA